ATCTCATATATTTTATGTCTATAACATAAAATATTAATCTTTTATAGCATGATGTAACATCTCGAGCGCTGACGAGGGCAGGGAGTGATCGCCGGTGCAAAGAGGCACGGACAAGGAGCGGCTCCTGACAGGCTTCCAGTGCGGGGTTACATGCACGAATGAATCGAATCGACACCCGAAAGAGAGGGATTCCAAAGACTGTGCAGGTATGAGACTGCACAATTTGGGATAACTTATAAGAATTAATTGGTACTACCTATTCTAACAAGATGCATCTTCTTTTCGGTAGCCCGGAACGGAAGAACTCCATAATTAAGCGTGCTTGACTTGGAGCAATTCTGGGATGGGTGACCTCCTGAGAAGTTTTACCAGAAAGTGTGCGAGTGAGAAAAAAGCACACTGAAAAGTCTCGTGTTAGTAATGAAGTATTATTGATGCAATGTGTTGAATTGCATTACATAGTGTGTGGGGACAGTCGGTCGTTGATCCTTGCAAGTTGTCAGGCGTTACAAGTGGTATCAGAGCAGGGCCTCTCATCCAGTACGGTGTGGTTCGAGGACGAACCAGGCGGAAGCTGATGGGCATGTAACATCCTGAGCGCTGACGAGGGCAGGGAGTGATCGCCGGTGCAAAGAGGCACGGACAAGGAGCGGCTCCTGACAGGCTTCCAGTGCGGGGTTACATGCACGAATGAATCGAATCGACACCCGAAAGAGAGGGATTCCAAAGACTGTGCATGTATGAGACTGCATAATTTGGGATAACTTATAAGAATTAATTGGTACTACCCATCTTCTTTTCGGTAGCCCGGAACGGAAGAACTTCATAGTTAAGCGTGCTTGACTTGGAGCAATTCTGGGATGGGTGACCTCCTGGGAAATTTTCCCAGAAAGTGTGCGAGTGAGGAAAAAACACACTGAAAAGTCTTGTGTTAATATATAGGGATAGTTATTGATTCTTGAAGCTGTCAAGCGTTACACATGAGATTAATATTCTCCTTAAATTAATCAATACCCTGTGTTGTTAAGAACCTCTGAAGCCCGTTTGGAGTGGCTTTTAAAAAAAGGATTTTGTATGGTTTGGTTTTAGGGTAAATTACAATTTAGTACCCTATATTTAAACTCCTTTTGAAAAAGTCACCCTATTCTTTTAATGGATTCAATGAACCTCCTTAAACTATGCCATTAAAATTTAAAACAATTAAACATATCCGTCATTGAGAAATCTGATTCTGTTAGAATCTTAACGTGGTTCAACAAAAATATTTCATCCTTCTTCTGCAAAAAAATAGTTGTGTTTCAATTTCTTGTCGCTTTTGTTTTGATCTTTCGACAGTTCAGCAATGGAAGAGCCTGGTAGCTTATACTGACGTTTTATTCTTTCGATAGTTTCAATTTCTTGTCACTTTCATTTTGTTCTTTCCTTTTGGGTACAATTGCAAAAGTTTTAATTTCTCATTAAGTTTGTGTGATTCCAAATTTGAAAAACCAAATGTAACTTGAGCAAGTTTTACCTAAATTTTCTAAAATTTGTGATACAGGTAGCAAAAATCAATCAAGGTCTGCTTCCTGTACAAGGAGCCAAGGTACAAAACTCAATGAGAAAAGAATTTGAAGAAATGGAGAAGAAAAAATCAACCATTGACAACAGAGCTAGCTGACTTCTTGGTTCGTTGGGAACTATGGGGTGGGTTGGGTTTCATATGCTTCTATTTGACCTCTATGTATAAGCCAGTATAAAGCCATCAAACTCTTCCACCACTGAACTATCGAAAGAAGTTAAAAAAACAAAACGAAAGTGACAAAAAAGATTGAACTGAAAAATGTATGTCATTTTAATTATTTTATATTAGTCTAAAAAAATTAATTTATAAGATATTACATATTGTAAATATAACTTATCATTTTTTTAAAAGTTAAAATTACTTTATGTTTGAAGTGAACACATAAAATTATTTTTAAATAAAAAAATTATTTGGTTGTTAAAAATTATAAGTATTTTTATATATAAAATTATCAAAGAGGATGTATGATAGTAGTGATGATAGTGGGATGGAGTAGTACGAGTGAGTTTGGAATAAAATTAAATTTTCAAAAAATAATATGATTTTTGCTTCTATTTTTTGTTTATCAATGAATCCTCTAAAAAAGTATTATTTTAATTATTTTAGATTTTATTTTTTAAAAGTTATTATCTAAAACGTAATCAACTCCATTTTTTTATATAAAAAAACAGCTTTTTTATCAAATGCTCAATAAGTCTAACGGCCTTAAATTAATGGAAAATAAAAGTATAATGTTGTAAGAAAGTTATTAGGTTATGTTATAGAGATAGAGAATGTGAGACCCACACTTATTTTGTTTTTTTATTTTTTGAAAACAAATATGGGTCTCACAATCCTTATCTCGATAACCTAACCTAACAACTTTCCTACAACATTATTATTCTTTTTCCCTAAATTAATATAGGGAAAACTTTAATTACCTCCTGATAAGTTTTCTTATAATCATTTACCTCCTTTTCGAAATTTTAATCATTTACACCTTTATTTAAATTTTTTATCACTTACCTCCTTTCTTCATTTTCCATCCAAAAAAGTAAAGTTAACTTTTTAAAAAAATACCACAACTACCCTTTAAATAAATAAATAAACACTAAACGTGAAAATGATTTAGTCCAGAATCTATCAAGTGCAGAACTCGCGTACTGTGCTTGCAAGAGAGTAAATTTTCAATAATAAAATGCACCATGATGGCAGGTTGGAACATCCTAGATAATCCAATAGGCCCACCCATACCAGTCAACATGTATCCAAATGTGCAAGGACCCCAGCCCTTTCCACCCGGACCAAGACACGTTGGTGAACATACACAAAAATTTGAAATGAAAGAACCAATTATTTAGCGTGAATAAGCAGAAAAAAAATCAATTTTTACAGTTGACATGATTTCTGATTGCCAAAACCACAAAAGGATAACATTTTTAATAACAATCGATTCTCCTAATTATGTGGTAGATCATGAAAATATACATTCTGCAATGGTAGAGCATGTTGCTATGCATCAAGTATCTTCAAAAAAATCTCCATATAGTTGTAATATACATTCTCTGAAGATCATTTTTCTATCAGTATGCATGAAAATATACACAATACAATACTGCTTTCAATAAACTACTCTGTTATGAAATGGTAGAGCATGTTGCTATGCATCAAGTATCTTCAAAAAATCTCCATATAGCAAAATGAAGCCAAAATCTCCCTTCCTGTGCCAAATAAGTGGGGATCCCAAAAATATGGACAGAAAAAATCATCTTCAAAAAATCTCTTTTCAAGCATATTAATCTTAAAAAAAAAAAATCTGGACAGCAACCATAAGCTTCAAATCAAAGAACCTTCATCAGGTGCTAAAGGGACTGATATGTTTTCCTCCTCTTGTAGCCATCTATCAATACAAGAGACCATTCAATTAAGAACATATAAATAAAATAGGAAAAAGTTGTTACCTTTTTCCTGTTCGTAAAAGGTTGAGATATTGGTTGTGATTGCTCATTTTGAATTTGAGCCATCCTTTGACTTGATGTTTCTCCAATGACAAATGCCTTACAATTTCGTGCATTATGTCCCTTAACTTGACAATTTCCACATCTGATAGATTTGTTTATTCTTGTATGGGTTTCAAGGCTCATCAGATTGTCTTCGCCTCAAAATCTTAGGTCTACCAAGTGGAAAATGAAAATAGAAAGTGATAAAAAAAATTTAGATAAAGGGGTAAATGTTTAAAATTTTTGGGAAAAGGGGTAAGTGATTCTGAAGAAACTTAAAGGGGGATAATTGAAGTTTTCCTATTAATATAACATCATTGTTTACTACGCGAACAGAAAGAGTGACATACAAATAAGGTTGAAATTTCAAGTCAATCTATTTAGCCTCCTCCTCCTACTTCTTCTTCTTCTTTCTTTTTTATTTAGTTCTACTCAGCCGTTTAGCTTTACGAATAGAGTGACATAAAAATGTTACTATTGACTGCTAAGAGGTTCAAAACTAATAGTTCGAAGTTTGGAATTTAACCAATTAACCATTCAAAATGATATATATATATATATATATATATATATATATATATATATATATATATATAATTTGTTGGGAGAAGAGTAAGAAACAAAGGAGATATTTTTCACGAAGGCAGAAGAAGTAGTTACTTTCACATTCAAACAATAGTTTTAAATTACAAAACTTGAATTGAAATACATAAAGACACTTAACACCACAATAAACTCACATAACTTCTTCGGAAACTTAAAAAACACAAAACTGAACATTTAAACCAAAAAAAAATTGTTGACTCTTGACCTTTCATTCTCCTAAAAAACTGCTAAATTAAATCCACTAAAAATTAAACTAATATTTAACATTTATTCAACAAAACTCACCCTTAAACTTAAAGGCTTCTGCCATCTTTCATGCCGATCAATTTCTCGCAGTTGTCAAGAAGTACCGTCGGTAGCGGTTTCGTGAAGATATCTGCGACTTGGTCCTAACTTGCCATGTGTACTAGTTCCACACTTCCTTCCTTCACATGATCTCAGATGAAGTGAAAGCGAACGTCGATGTGATTTCTTATCTCATGATTCACCGGGTTCTTTGCCAACTTAATTGTCGATTTGTTATCAACTCGTATCACAGTCGCAAGGAGTTGTTGTTGCTCCAACTTGCCCAACAAATTTTTGAGCCATATTGCATGACATACACACCAAGACGCTGCCACATATTCAGCTTCACATGTCAAGAGCGTCACGATCGGTTGCTTCTTTGAAAGCCAAGTAAACGTTGTGTCACCCATAAAAAACACATATCCCGATGTGCTTTTTCGATCGTCTAAGTCTCTGCATCAATCGATGTCGGAGTGCCCAATTAACTTGTAATCTTCTGAATTCAAATAGAATAATCCGAGTGACACTGTTCATTGGATATAGCGTAGGATTCGCTTCAACGCCTTCTAATGTGAATAAATCGGCTCCTCCATGAACCGACTTACAATGCCAACACTTAACAAAAGGTCTGGCCTTGTGCATGTGAGATAGCGAAGGCTTCCCACGAAACTCCGATATTTTCTCGCATCGACTCGTTCTCCTCCATCGAACTTCGAGAGTTTTGCACCCATTTCGATTGGTGTTGATACCTGGTTGCAATCTGCCATCTTGTACTTCTTCAAAATCTCCTTTGCATATACCTCATGTGACACAAAAATACCTGTCTCTCCTTGTCTTACCTCCAGACTAAGGAAAAACTTCATCAAACCCAAATTTGTCATCTTAATTCCCATGTCATTATGCTCTTAAACTCTTGTATCATCTCATCATTGTTTCCCATAAAAATAAGATCATCAACATAAAGAGCAACAAATAATAAATTACTTCCACTCTTCCTCACATAAAGGGCATGTCCGTAGGGACATTGCTCGAACCCCTTCTCCTTGAAGTATGTATCGGTACTAGTATTCCATACCTGCGGTGCTTGCTTCAACCCGTAAAGCATATTTTTCAATTTCAGCACCTTCTTTTCATCTCCGATTTTCATGTACCCGGGTGGTTGTTCGATGTAGACTTCTTCTTCGAGCACACCATTCAAGAATGCCGACTTGACATTCATTTGAAATATCAGCCATTTGAATTGAGCTGCTTGTGAAATGAGTAATCGGATTGTCTCCATTTTAGCAACGGGAGCAAACACCTCGTCATAATCGATTCCCGCCTTTAGCTTGTATCCTTTTGCAAAAAGTCGCGCCTTGTACCGTTCTATCTCGCCTTGAGCATTCATCTTTCTCTTAAACACCCACTTCACACCAATGGGCTGACTTCCTTTCGGCAATTCCGCTAACTCCCATGTGTTGTTGTGGTCAATTGCTTTAATCTCCTCGTCCATGGTAGTTTGCCACTTCTAGTCTCGCATCGCCTCTTCAAAACTTATCTTCTCAAAATTCGACAAAAGACATACAAAGTGTACCTCATTTTGTCGAATCATACAAATCTTGCAAACTTTTCATTTTGGGTTGTCATGATTCATCTTCATCATCAGTAGTTTCAGGATTTGTCAGTATAGTTGTTGGTGTAGCGGTTGATGATTCTCCAACTTCGATGATAACCTCCGTTGAGTTATTCCAATCTCACCCGCTTCCTTCATTAACTCGTACATCGCGACTCACCACAACCTTCTTGCTTATCGGGTCGAGTAGCTTGTATCCTTTTGTTTTCTCATCATACCCAAAAAATATACCTTTTGCTTTTATCTTCAAGCTTCGTTCTTCGTTGATTCGGCATGTGTGCATAGGCCACACTACCGAATACTTTGAGATGAGAAACTGTCGGTTTTGTTCGCTCCACACCTCTTGTGGTGTTTGATCATCCAACTTCATATGTGGACACCGATTTTGCACGTAGATGGCGCATTGCACGGCTTCCGCCCAAAATTCCTTCGGCCTCTTCTTGCTCTTGAGCATTGACTGAACCATGTTGAGAATGATCATGTTCTTCCTCTCGACCACACCGTTTTGTTGTGGAGAGTACGGTGCGATTATAAATCGCCTTATGCCTTGCCAAAGTATGCTCGCCACCTCTATCAGATCATACAGATTTGATGTGTCTATCGGTTGCCTTTTTCACCATCACTTTGAACTTTTTGAACACCTCGAACGCCTCAGATTTTTCTTTCAAAAAATAAACCCAAGTTTTTCGTGAAAAATCATCAATAAAGGAAATGAAATACCTCTTACTGCTAAAGATTCGGGGTGATTGGTCCACATATGTCGATATGAATCAACTCAAGAGGTTGCTTAGCCCAATATTCTGCCTTCTTTTGAAATGAAGTTCTCGCATGCTTTCCAAGCACACATTCTTCACAAAATTTTCCCTCGTAGTCCGTGTCTGGTAGCCCGTGCAGCATGTTCTTCTTCGCCAACTCATTTAGACCACCATGATGTAGATGACCAAAACAGAGATGCCACAGCGACGCCTTGTTCTTCTACGTCGACCTGCAAACACTTTTCTCGCACGCTTCTCAAATTCAGCTTGTACATGTGATTTTTCCCCATTTCAACTCGAGCGACCAAACGCCCTTACTTATCTTTCAAGTGTAAAACCCGATCTTTCTTAAGTACCGAATAACCTTTCTCCATGAGTTTCCCCTACTCAAAATGTTACTCTTGAGGTCTGGTACGTAATACACATCTTGGATTGATTTAATTAAGTCATCCTTTTGTAAGTAACAAATCGTACCTTGGCCTTTGACTTCAACCTTCGACGCATCTCCAAATAACACATGTCCAGTTTCCACCTTACGCATCTCTTTGAATAGGTGCCCGTGCACATATGGTTGCTTGCACCCGTGTCTAGGTACCACACTGTGTCATTGTCAGGGTTGCCTTCATTGTGTGTCATCATGTGAAGACCTTCTTTCGCCTCATCTTTCGTGGCTAGGTTGGTTGTCTCTTCCACCTTTTTCTCGACTCGACACTCTTTCGTGAAATGCCCCACCTGGCCACAATTGTAACACTTATCAGAGTTGCAATCCTTCGCATTGTGACCATATTTGCCACACTTGTAGCACTCAGTGTTGGAATAATTCGACCGATCGTCTAGTTACTACCTCTTTTTCTTACTATCTCTTACTACTATATCTTAACCGTTGATTTTCGTCAATCTACCGGTTATAGTTTATTGGAAATTAATAATTAATTAATAAGTATGATCTAATAGATTATAACCATTAGATTGACGGAAATCAACGGTTAAAATTTGGTAGTAAGAAAAAGAGGTAATAAATATAACCTCTCCATATATATATATATAAAAGCTATTTGTAATTATATGTTCCCTTGAAACGATTTTGTTGATACATGCATTAACCTTTTATATAATATGTTGTTACTTTTTTCCTTTTGTATGTCCCTCAAGTTCGGCTAAGCAACCTTTTCGCAGAAGTCAGTCAACAAGATCCTGGATCTCGTATCGCGGCAATTACCTCGGCCTGAACTTCACCAGGTCGGGCAGCGTAGCAAAAAATCAAAAACGCAAACAGGAAAGAGAGAGAGAGAGAAGGAGAACACAAGCAGATTTTAACGTGGAAAAATCTTCTCCAATGAAGAAGGAAAAACCCACGGGACCTAATCCAGATCAAACGTCCACTATGAAAATAATGGATACAAAGAATCAAAATACACCAATGTGGTGGTTAACACAACCTCTCCAACAATGGTGATTATCAAACTATCCTGGAGATGTTTCACTCAAACTCTCTCTAGAGATCTCTTAAATACAAAGCTTAAAGTTTTGCTCACAAATCTCTCAAATATTTTTTCTCTAATTCTATTCTCTCTATCTAACCTAGCATCCACCCACAACTAATGAATATATAGAGAAGGTGGAATCTAGGGTTTAGAGTTTTTAGGAAATCTCTCAATGGACTTGGGCTTAGCATTGAAGGAGGAAGCCCAACGAGTATTAAATATGGTTGCTTCGTTAATATTTAACTTTGTTTTCATGAACGTTATTTAATAACATTGCTTTCGATAATATATTTTATTTTTAGGAAGTTTTCCTATGATGTTTCAAAGCAGAAACTCAAGTCCTTCATTTTGCCTTATGAGCTAGGAAGAATGTAACACAGCAAAATTTAAGTATTTTATTGAAATTTTAATATTATAATTCAAATATGATTTTTTAAAATGTTCAAGACTTAATATTTTAAAGAAAAATTGAAAAATTTTCATTTCACTAATGATACAACGAGATGTTCCGAACCTAGTTACAATATTCTTCTTCAAAAATCTTATCACAGCATTAGCATTATTTGTGGGTAGAAAAAGAAATTAGTCCCATAAAATCAATACCGCATTGCTCAAAAACTATTTTACATAATGTATCCAACACACCCAATAAATATCTTATAATTTAACCGGTAAAAGTAAATCCTTTGTCATGTTTGAACCCTTTGTCGTGGCTGTAAAAGTAAATCCTCATGAATATGTTAGATTTAACGTATGACTTCAATTTTAGTTACAAGCTCAATTTCCCTAAAATTAGGCTTTGTGGAAAAACCCACAATGTCCTATTCGTATTGGTTTTCGTTGCGCTCAACTGAAAGCCCTTGGAAATTAATTACGTTCACCGCGTAATTCAGCCACAAACCTCGTTCGTGGGACATTTGCATTTAATGGATTATGGATCTTTTTCTTTTTCTTTTTTAGATTGGGGTTTTGCTTTAATAATAAGGGTAAACATACCCAAAAGTTTTGATTTGTGAGGGCACAAGGAAGCAATACCTCTCCTTATATGCAAAATGGATTTTACTCATTCATCTATATATATCGGGTACAAAGTTTGAAATTCAAAAGGGCTAAGTAGTTTATAACTTTATATCACTCAAGTAATAGGAATTCTTTTTGAAATTGAAGAGAGATATATTTCCATTCTTTCAAATGTGGATCTGCCAATTGTACGTATTGACCGATATTAAGTCCTGCTTTATGTAACTTTTTTTTTTTTTTTGATAACATGCTTTATGTAACTTTAACACATTAAGGAGAATCAATTCTTTTCTGTGATGGCCCAAAAACTCGACCTCGAAAATTAACTCAATTTTTTATATTTAATGTTTTCACTTTCAATATGGGAAATCATAACCATACAAAGATGGAAATAAATATAAAGTATTAAGTATGGATAATCATAACCATACAAAGATGAAAATAAATATAACCGTTGGATTAACATAATCGATCTAACGATAAAATTGATTGATAGTAACACTGATTGATTTTTACAATATCATATATATATATGATAATCTTTTCTCATGTTACATGAAAAAAGATTAATCTCCTACACTCACAAAATAGAAGAGAGGGGAGAGAGAATAGATGAGAGAAAAAAAATATAAAGTGGGCTCCACTTTTGAATTGTGTGTAGGAGAAAAATATTTTCTCATGTAACATGAGAAAATATTAACTATATATATATATATATATATATATATATATATATATATATATATATATATATATATGGGTTCATCTACTCATGTTACATAAGAGAAGATCTTTCATGTTGTAGACTCACATATAGTGGGTCTATCATTTACAAAAAAAATAAAAAAGAATGTCACGGTTTTCTATGGGTCTATTGGAGATAAAGATACTCTTATGTTGCATAAGAGTAGTTTTTCCTAGGGGTGTTCGCGGTCTGGATTGAATCAGTTTTGGAAGCAAAAATCATCTGATCCAATCTCTTCGGTTTGATCATGTAAGAATCCATTCGG